ACCCTAAGACCAATGGGATGAACTATCAGATTTAAATTATGTTTCTTGGCTGCGCTAAGTATTTTCCTAGGCGAGAAGTTCATGGTCTGCTGCCGACCCAACCTCCGGTACGACAATGCTAGGCAAACGTAGCAGATGTTCATAAATGACTTTTATGTTTATGTCAATATTATTGCTATAGAGGTTCTGGACCGGACGGGTGTAAGATGTGCGTTGGTCGACGCGTTGGCCTTACGAAGAAGGAGAAAAACGCGAAGAGAACACGTGAATTCATATGCATAAGTCATGGACGGCGACGCTTTACGCTCTGAATGGAGATTCCTGCTTTTGTGTTCGGTTCTGGACCTCACATGTTGTCGTACCGGAAAATTTCCTTCCTGTACGGCGGTCACAGGAGGTATCTACGTCGACTTGTATGCAAAACAATTACACATAGGGATCATATGGCGGTTGCATTGCATGTTTCTTGGCCGCAGCCAGCAGCAAACTCAAATGGAGTGCCGCATGGACGACAAGCCAGGCTAACGCAGCTGATGTTCATGAGTGCCCTTTAGATTCTAAGTATAAAAGCTGGAACAACGCCTATTTTACATTCTGCGTTAAGTACTACCGGTAAGGCGCAACCAATTTTCACATGAGATCCCGGGATCGAGCCACGGTAATAAAGTGTGCAATTTCCAAGTAATAGTCACTACAAGGATAACAATCCAATAAGAGAGGTAGTGAGGTCACGCGATCGATTAAAGCGATGACTTGGGTATCTAAAGGATGACTCGTAAGAAAAGCCTATTATGCGATGCCTGTACAGGTCCTATTATAGGAAATCATGTATACTTGCGTCTATATAGGCAATGTCGTTTACAACATCAAGTGTATACATACCTGTATACCGCATAGCCTAAACATCCCTTGCTACAGGTTATGATGTAAAAATGTACTTATAATACTATGCCATACATGATCGTATATTAGGCCATCACTTACACATGCGCCTCTTATGCCTAAGCCTTTAAGTCTCGTATAATATGTGTACACCTTACTGGCCTATATACCTTTCACCTATTTTCCCGAATATCTCGCCTATACAATGCCCGAAAAAATACAGACGTAACCTGGATAAGGTTGAGCTGTTACCTCTCGGCACCCACCCACATCATATAACAATAAATCATGACATGAAGGTCGTACATATGGCTACGGCTCTCAATCTACCTTTTACGGATGTGGGAGAAACCACAGGCAGGGACTGGGATGTGCAACTAGACAAAGTCTGGGCTCGGTTTCGACGCATTTCGGTGTTAAATCTTTCCATTTTTGGGCGTGCACATGCAGCGGCTGCATATGGGCTGCATCGTTTTACGTGGCATATGGAACACGGGGGGGTTCCCCCCAGAAGCTCAACTCATGAATATTGAGGCTAAAGCGGCCAAACTTATGATAGGGAACCTCGGACCGGTCGCACAGAAAAGACGACTCACCGGGGTTCCTAAATATTTGTTATATGGCCATCCAACTTTTGGGCGGTTTTGGGGCATTAGCAGTACGACAACATGTACAAGCGCGATGGGCATGCTGGGCAGTGCGTTTTGTGAGAGCATTACTCCAACCAGTCTTAGTGCGTCCGCCTTGGGTGATGGTCATGCACTCTNTCCTACATAGCCTTTACCCCAAATATAATCCTATGTGTATTTTTACGTCCCAGGTGGGAGTGCCTTGGTTTGGATTAATCGTTTTACCGCCAGATGTTCAGCGCATTGTGACAGCGTTGGCATACCTTCCCCCAGTGGAAGATGTTGATGACCACCCGTTAGTTCCTAATGCGTGGTGTTGGAATTTGCCATTGTGGGGAAACCCTGTTCTTCCAGAAAAAAAATTGAATGTCCAGTTAGATAACATCCGCCCGGGACTAGAATTTCGTCATCAAGCCCTCCTGGGCTGTAAAGCATTGCATACGTTGGGAGATGTTCTTTGCGCGCGAGAGGCCTTGGATGGAGTTATGAATGCAACGGACCAAGCAGGCCTAGCAATACGCAAGGCTTGGCATCAAATAGTGGATAAATACCTCCAACCGCAAACCCCACTAGCTAAATCCCTGTGCACCTATCGTAAATGGCAGGAATGTATGGATGCTATTGCCGCTCTTCTAGATGATATTCCAGCGAATTGGAGACAGGCGGCTAGTCTTTTGTTGCCGCTGAGTGTAGAATCTAGGGAAGCGATGGTGCCCCCTATTGAGTCGGTTACTCAAACCCTAGTGTCGAGGCTTGGTTGGAGATGGGGTGTAGGGCCTCCAATCCGATTCCAACAATTATCCGTTAAAATAGCGACTAATATGCAACTTTCACCTTTTTCGATGGC